CTTTTACGATTGTTGCTAAGGGCAGTTTTCTTCCTTTAATGTTATTTTTTTATCTCTTTCTCTGTCGCCTGGCTCGTATCTATACGAGCGAGGCGATAGAGAAAGAGATAGAAAAAAATAACATTAAAGGAAGAAAACTGCCCTTAGCAACAATCGTATAAGTGTGTGGCCATTTTTTCTCTATGTTCGTGGCCAAAAAGTGACATGGAAATAAGGCTCATTGAATGAGCCATATTCACAATTCGCTCGTTGGTCACTTAACAGCAAAAATAGTACGCAAAGAGAGCTAATGTTTTGCGAAGGACGGCTCCTCTCTTTTGATCTTCTTTCTCTTCTCTTCTCTTGTAGAGAAGCTGTTCGTCACTGGACAATACCATCGCTTCATCTCTTTTATCTTCTATTTTCTTTGATGTTTTTCTCTGTCTTTCTCAACGTAAGCAATCGATTCTACTGCAGAAGGGACAAATATATACATATTCTATTAATGAACTAGATAGGAAACAAGTGAAGTATAATATAATTTTGCAGTAAAATAATCTCACAATTAACATAGAGGGTTCACTCGCATATGACAACGTCTACATTGTTGTAAACAGAAACCTAATAAATGGTTCTAAATGAAAAAACAGAACATAATAATCTGCACATATGAAGTTGCACAGACTTTACTGAAAAGAAAAATGTATTTTAACAAATAAAAATATTTTAAGAAAACAAAGATCGATCAGATAACTTTGACAAGACGTTCCTTAAAATGATAAAAACTGATCTTTTTATTCTAATGAATCAGATAACATTACCCTAGTGAAAATACTCATCAAGCGAGTACGACTTTCCAGCGTGAGTACTCATATTACTCGCACGAGTACTCGAGGAATTTGATGTGTATGTATACTCTTCGTGTACTCTAATGAGTACTCGTACGAGTTTTTCTTTAGAGATTTACTCGTAGGCAGATATATCAGTACTCAGTGTAGTACTCATAGTCGTTTTTCGCAGACCGTTTAATAAAACACTTATGCACTAGTATACAGAAAAAATAAATTGAAATTATATAATAAAAGAAAATGATGCAGTAAAATGAAAGCCCGATAAAAATTGTTTTATTGAGCTATTTACTCGATCCTCTATTCATTTTGATGAGTCATCTATACGACTAAGATAAATGGTGATGTTCAGAAAGAGAAAAAACGATTTTTCGTTTTCATTTGTTAACTTAGGTGAGATTGAATTTTTTTAAACATATGAATGTAGATTCGCTTTAATTTTATTTTGTAAATTTAGATAAAAAATCTTCCGTTAAAATATAGTTTTTCAAACTGACTATCAAATGCTATGAAAAGGAAGACGACTAATGACTTTTATTATAAATCGATCGCAATTTTAAAACAAGAAGATGCATGAATACACTACCGACAAACAATTCTATTCTGTATTTATTTTTTTGTAGATTCCCGCATAAATGTAGATAGTTACGAATGTAAAAATATCTGTTTAAGTTTTTTGTATAACAAGCAATACTGTACGTTTATTTACTATCACATTTCTCATTATCAGTGATTAATTTTCTTTTTTCTCCTTCACTGTATTTTACTGCCCTTAATTCGTGTTTTATTGTGCTCTGTATTCAAGATATAGCTAAAGAAATTTTCATTATTAGAGAAAATAATTAACTGTTTTCTATTTTTTTTTACATAATGAAATACGATTTTATTTATTTTTTGAAAGAGGAAAGATAAGAATCAATAAAATCGTATTTTTATTGTAGAAAAACAAAGAAAAAATTTAACTTTCTTCACTAATGATGAAGATTGCTATGGCCATATTCTTTACGCTAAAATATGTGAAGCTAATGTCAAAGTTGTGGTTCTCATTTCGACCATTTTACTCAAATTTTCATTGTGTACGGTTGTGGTTTTTGTAATATTCTAATATTAAATAAAAATTGATGTAGTACAACGGTACTAACCAAAAGATATGCTTATGAGTATTTTACATTAGGCGAGCAGAGTACACAGAAACTAGATAGGAGTACTCACCAAACACTTAATATTACACAGCGAGTACTCGATCGTCGTACTCAGATACTCAGATTCTAGCATGAGTACGGCTGTTGAGTACTCAAAACCTATGAGTACTCGTGACATTTTCTAGCGTGAGTACTTTTTGAGTACTCGCCTATGAGTACCTTCACTAGGGTAGCTGCTCAATACTTCTTCAGATCAATGACACTTCCGTACCCATACTCTTCCATGTGTTCTGTCAATTAAACTAATTTATGTTTAAGATGCCAACTTAGAAAAAAGAAATCATTCTCGGCAAGATATAATAGCTTCAAATAGTGATTATCAATTTGCTTTATTTTTAGGCTCATATTAAATTTCAAGTTAAAGATGGCAATTTAACGACAACAGGCAGAATTACAAATGGGATGCAGCAAAATTTTTTTCATGGAATACCATTAGGAAGAATTTTGTATAACACACCCACACAAACATTTGCGATAATGCATTTAATTACACAGTTTCATCAACTTATAAAATTATACAGTAAACGTCAGTCAAATTATCAATATTTCACGAAATTAAAAAGAAATTCCATAGAATGGGTTAAATCACATATAGACTTAACTTTAGACAATGATTGTCTAAAGTTAAGTCTATATGTGATTAGATTATTTGTAAACCATTGTAAATGTAATGTTCCCAGGTCGATGATTCCCGTCAACGGATCCCACCGGAACCTGCAGGTACCGGCGCATTTCGGCTAATTCCCGCCGGTTCCCGTGAAATCCCTGCCGGAACCGACCGGGAAAAATACTGGAAAGGGGGGCAGTATTCCGGCCGGAAAGTCATCGTACAAGGAACCAGTCAATTACAAAACCTTTCAGTTCACCGGAAAACGTTGGAAAATCCATCGTATCCATCACGGAACACACCGGAAACACACCGTATTCATCACGGAAGACACCGGAAACACATCGTATCCATCACGGAATACACCGGAAACACACCGAATCCGCCACGGAACACACCGCACACCGTATCCATCACGCGATACACCGGAGACATACCGTATCCATCACGAAACCCATCGGACACGCCATATCCATTACTGAATACACCGGAAACATACCATATCCAATAACGGAAAACATCGGAAACATACCGTATCCATCACGGAACACACCGTATCCATCACGGAATACACCGGAAACATATCGTATCCACCATATAGGGGAGACCATGCCTCAAAAAGAGTCATCCAGACAAAGAAAAATCGTCCTCTGAGGACATCGCACTTTCTTTTTTTTAGAACGAACCCTAGCACATGGTGCGCCCCGATTTCTCGGGGACACCATGTCTCAAAAGGAGTCCTCGAGGGATAGGAAAATCGTCCTCCGACGACTTCCAACTTGTTTTTTTCTCAGAGTGAACCCTAACACCCGGTGCACCATTATTTATAGTGGAGACTATGTCTCAAACAGAGTCCTCGAGACGTAGAAAAATCGTCCTCCAAGGACTTCGAACTTTGTTCTTTTTCGAGAGTGAACTCTAACACCCACTGCACCCTCATTTATAGTGCGAGCCAACGTCTGAAACAGAGTCCTCGAGAGGTAGGAAAATCGTCCTCCGAGGACTTCGAATTTTGTTTTTTTCCAGAGTGAACCCTAACACCCGGGGCACTCTTATTTATATTGGGAGCCCATGTCTCAAAAGGAGTCCTCGAGAAGTAGGAAAATCGTCCTCCGACGACTTCGAACGTGTTTTTCTTTTCAGAGTGAACCCTAACACCTGGTACACCCTTATTTATAATAAAGACCATGTCTCAAACCGGGTCCTCGAGAAGTAGGAAAATCGTCCTTCAAGGACTCCGAGCTTCTTCTTTTTTCAGAGTCAACCTTAACACTTAACGCACCGTTATTT